CCCCCCCCCAGGGCTCTGAGGTCCCCAAGGTGACAGGGCGCAGCTGGGGTGTCCCGACACTTGAAGCCCCCCACACACACACCCCATCTTGTCCCCTTCTCCCCCACTCCCCACAAGCTCCCGGTTGTTGTGGGGCTGCAGGGACGCGGCTGGGCTCCTCCTAGATGTCCAAAAATCACAGCGAAGCTCTTAAGTTTTACACGATCGCTCCCAAACGAGCATCCTTCCTTTTCCTTTCTTTTTCTCCTTTTTTGTTTCCTAGGACCGATGGGCTACTGCGTTTTACTCCGGAATAGACAAATGTCCTGAAACACCCCCCAAAAAAAAAAACCCCCAAGAGATGGCCACAGCGGAACTGGCTCAGGTGGACGATTCGTCAGGGTCTGGTTGGGGGTTTGCTCGTTCCTTCAGCGACAACAACGGTCATACGCGAGAAAACCAGCCCTTTTTGGGAAAGGAAACGTTTACGGGTGCCAAACCTCGCCTAGGGCTGTGCCCCAGCACAGGCTGCCGGGCAAGGCGCGGCCCTGGGAAAAGCCACCTTCACCGCCTCCCGTCCAGGCGGGCCCGGGGAGGTCGATGGTTTCCCTTTGGCGTTTTGTCCTTGGGTCCTGCTTGGAGGTTTATTTTCAGGTCCGTGGATCTCAGTCTCTTCCCGGGAGGTCCGTGTTTTTCTTCCCTTACGCCCCACGCTCTCCTCGGTTGCTTGGGATGGGCTTGAGCATCTCTTGCTGCTTCATCCCAGGACCTCTGGGGTTTTTTTTATTCTTCTCCCTCTCGCACGGTGGGGCTGTGGCTCCGGCCCCAGGCACTGAAGGTCTCTTGCTGCTGCTGCAGGAGCCTGTGACCTTCGAGGAGGTGGCCGTGTATTTCACCAAGGAGCAATGGGCCCTGCTGGACCCGGCGCAGAGGACTCTCTATGTGGACGTCATGCTGGAGAACTACGAGACGGTGTCGTCTCTGGGTAAGGAGCCCCGTCCCTTCCAGTGCTGGAGCCAAGAGTTCCTGAACCTTTGGCTCATGGTCTTTATGTTGCAGATGCTCTCGATTTTCGGATGGTTTGAGCTCTGCAGCACTCAGGAGTGAGACAGACCATCGCCTTGATGCTCCTCCTGGGAGACAGAGCGGGGAGGAACATTGAGGAAAAGCCCTTTTTTCTCCTCTTCTGTGTAATTTTCCAGTGGATGGACATACGTGTCCTCCCCGCAGGGATCTTGTCCCTTTTCCTGGACTAGCTCCATCCCAACGACTGGTTTTGGGCCAACGTTTGGTGTTTGCCCTCTGTGGGGCTTGGGCGGAGGACGCACCGTCGCCCAGGCACCTGGTGGTCTGGATGACCGTACCGCCGTCCTTCCCACCCCGTGTCCCTCAGGAAGTTCAGATTTCTTTAGCTTTGCGAATACTCTACAATTCTCAAGTCCCTCGTGCCGTTATCTCCTGGTTTCACTCTCTGGAACAGGTTTTCCCACGGCCGAGCCGGACTTGCTCACCCAGATGCAAGAGCGAGGAGAGCTCTGGGGCCCTGATCTTCGAGAAATGGAGACAAAAGAAGAAGGAGCCCTGAGCAGCAGACACGCAGGTGAGGATGGGGTGCCTGTGCTCATGGCCACCTCCACCGGCGCACGCTATTATATCCTGTCAAACCCACGCCAGGATTTTAGTCAAAGCGTGATGGATCCTTCAGGGAGATACAGCCCCACCCGATCCTGGCTGGAAATCAGAATAAATTTCCTCTCCGTTGATTCCCCCTTCTTCCGTCCCTGGGGGACCACGGAAGCAGAGCTGCTGCACCCCCAGCCAATTTTCCTGCCTGGTTAATCAGCTTCTTCTACCCCTTCCCCTTGACGTTATTTCTACCTGGCCTGAGAAATAACCCGTCTGGCTTCTCTCTGTGTTGCAGCGGGGGTGAGACGGAAAACCAACAGCGGGACGGTTTGCGGAGGAGGCGATGCCGACCTCGGAGAAACCCCAACCCGGGAGGACCCTGCAGAAAGGCAGCGCGCCCGCACCGACTCTGGACACGAGGGCGGCCGGAGCAGGGATTTAATTACACCCCCAAGAGACGATGCGGGAGAGAAACCTTTCAAGTGCCTCGAGTGCGGGAGAAGCTTCATGCGGAGCTCGGACCTCATCGTCCACCAGCGAACCCACACGGGGGAAAAGCCCTACCAGTGCCCCGAGTGCGGGAGATGCTTCAACCGGAGCTCCAGCCTCGTGACGCACCAGAGGATGCACACCGGCGAGAAAATGTACGGGTGCCCCGAGTGCGGGAAGAGCTTCACACGGAGCTCGACGTTGACCGCTCACCAGAGAACCCACACGGGAGAAAAACCCTACCAGTGCTGCCAGTGCGGGAAGCGCTTCAGCAAAAGGTCGAACCTCATTAAACACCAGCGGCAACACACCGGAGAGAGACCGTATCGGTGCCCCGACTGCGGGAAAAGCTTCATACAGAGCTCGGATCTCATTGTCCACCAACGAACCCATACGGGAGAAAAGCCCTACCAGTGCTCGGAGTGCGGGAAATGCTTCAGCGTGCGATCCAAGCTGATTCAACACCAGCGCGTGCACACGGGGGAGAAGCCGTACACGTGCGGCGAGTGTGGGAAGAGCTTTGGGCAGAGCTCGCACCTTTCTGTGCACCAGAAAACTCACAGAGGAGAGAAATCGGTGCTCCAGGTGTGGAAGGTCATTCAGTGTGAGATCCTGCCTTGTTAAATATCGGAGGCCGCGCGTGGGGCGTGGATATATAGAATATCTGAGAGCACACGCTTTGCATTTAAACGTGCGCTGAAGAACATTTTGTAGGTGTCTTTGCACCTACGAAAGCTCGGAAAAGCATTCAGTGACAGTGAAACTCCATTAAAAATGAGCCGGTCTGCGTGCAAGCAGGACTATTAGATATCTCAGAGGGTGGGTCAAGGACGCAACGCAGTTGCTAATTGCTGGGGGGGGGGGGTGGGCTCGCGGGTGGTTGGGCTCGCGAAGCGCGGTGGGCTTTGTACAACCGGCGTGGATCTCGTGTTGAAGTCGGCCGGTTTGCCTCTAGGAAAACCAGCTCTTCGGTGGTCCCCGTCGTGTTCCTCGTGATGCGCGGCCGGCTGGCGCGTCTCCTCCCGTGTCTGAACCCCTCCAAGTGACGCTGGTAGGGACCCAGGTTTTGGGGGAAGGAACCAAACACGGGGAAGCAAAACAAGAAACCACAAGCCCCAGCCCCACGCGTGCCTCGGGGGCTGCAGAGGTGGAACGAACCGTACCGGTTCCTGTTGGTTTGCTGCAGGAAGCCGCGGGCGGGCAGCACCCTCGCCGCGGTCCGAGGAGCAGCACGATGCAGGAGCAAATGGCGCGGGCAGGCTCATGCCGGCACTCCTTAGGGTGGACTAGCTCTCGTTACATCAGAAACGTCTTGGAAAGACTTTCCTGGAGCCGTCCAAACCGGGGTAAGGAAGGGTGGGGACCTCCCTGGCAGACGTAGCCCCAGCCTCTCCCCGGTCTGGGGAGGGAAGGAGCCGTCCCAGCATGTCCAGGCGCCGGGAGCTGCGCTGCGAGGGTTAGAGGAGGGGGCACTTGCTCTGGGCCGGGCGGGAGGACGGACACGCTGTCCGAGGGCAAGAACAAAGAGCTCGGGGAACGTTTGGGTTTGCACCACGTGGCTGTGTGTTATTTTCCTCTACATTCCCCCTCAAAAAAATTCCCAGAAAGCAGAAAAGAAGGTCATTTCCTCCAGTAAAGATCTCTGCCTTTCTACGGGCGCCTGTTGTCTCTTGCATCCCTGAACATCTCGAGGTGTTTAACTCTACCGTGCAGCGAGATGGAAGGATTTTCACGGCACTGGTGAGACCCGCGTCTGGGCACTGGGTCCAGTCTGGGGCTCCGCCGTGCAGTGAGCCCCGTGGATGCCCAGAGCAGGGCTGCAGGGCTCCAAGCAGGATCGCGGACACCCCAAAGTCCCGTCTACCCCGAATTATTCCCTGATTCTGTTCGTAGTGACTTCAGGATGACTTCTAACGCTTTTAATCTCACGGGGTCCCCCGCCTCCCGTGGGGGCGGCGGTGGTGGTACGTGTGCGGTGCTGGCGTGCCTCCGGCAGCCGTCCACGCGAAGAAGACGAGCCAAGGCTTCGCGTGGGTGACCCCGGTGAGTCCAAGTTACGTCGGGCGGACCCGCCGCGTCGCGTCACACCCCCACGGCGCGGACGCCAGAAGCTGGGTGAGCACCAGCCCTGCTT